ATGCTACCTTGGAAATGTTGAATTTCTTGGTTAAGTTTCTCCTCAAATACATTTTTGGTAATTATTTCTCCAAATGGCTTTTCTGTCTTGTCTCAACCATGATGCAAACCATGGGCTAACAGAGGTGTTGTCCCTTACCACTTACCCATCTTCAAAACTGTACCTTTGGCCAACAAGGCCACAGGCAGAGTTGTTACCCACCACTCCAAACTGAACAAGTTCCCTTTTGCCCCACAGAGAAGCAACTGCTCCTCACAGCCTCTACCAGTTAGACAGAATCTCTTCACCAGGTAGTTGGGAGAGGGTATGGGAGTAGTGCTAAGTCAAAAACCACAGAGTCTCACTATTCTCACCCAAAGTTCAGCAGTTTTTTAAGCATAAATACTTCTCAGATTGTTGGTATACCTCTGCTCAATTTCCAGAATGCTGAAATGGTTTTGTTTTAGGATTCTGCCTTGTTTTATTGGAGAAGAAATTGACAATCTCCTCACTCAATCATAACGAGAAGTTGCCCTCCAACTTTATGTTTAATATAAAGATTAAGTTAGAAAAACTCCCAAGTTAATAAGACACAGGGAATAGAACTGAAGGTAAGGCAGGGATAATTCTGTCACTATATCTGCCTCTATGTGCTCCAAATCATCGTGCTATAGTTTTAAAAAAATTGTCTGGGCTCAGTGGTTCAGCCTGTAATCCCAGGACTTTGGGAGGCTGAGGCGAGTGAATTGCCTGAGCCCATGGGGTCGAGACCAGCCTGGGGAACTCGGTGAGGCCTCTCTCTACAATAAATCAAAAAATAAGCCAGGCACGGTAGTGTGCACCTGTAGTTCTCGCTACTTGGAAGACTGAGGCGGAAGGATCACTGGAGCCCAGCAGGTTGATGTTAGGGTGGCTGTGAGTGTGCCACAAAACTCCAGTCTGGGTGACAGAGTGAGACCACGATTCAAAAAAATTTTTTTTGGTGATTCCAATTGACCAGCCACTTTCTTTTCCTTTTTTTTTTTTTTTTTTTTAAGAGATGAGGTCTCACCATGTTGTCCAAGCTAGTCTCAAACCAGTGGGCTCAGATGATCCTCTCACCTCTGCCTCCCAAAGTGCTAGGATTACAGGCATGAGTCACTGTGCTTGGCTAGTAACGTGTGATCAGTCACTTTCTTACAGAAAAAGGAAATTACCTCTCCAAGAAGCGACCAGAAACTGCCTCTATACTGCCTCCTTGAATATGCCCAAACTGGGCCATAAGACAGTAATAACACAGAATGAAAGAAAAAGAGACCATTTTGTAAAATAGCCAAATGGAAACTCTATAAACTGAACAACTATACTGCATTGAAAATGAATATTAAGTACTACTCTATTCAATAATATGGGTAAATCCCACAAACATAATATTGAGTGAAAGCAAGTGCACAAGGGGTACATACTATATACTTTCATTTATTGAAAGTACAAAAACAGGAAAAGCTAATCTATGCTATTAGAAGTCAAGAAAGTGACTACTCTTGGAGGACACTGGAGTCAAGGGTGCATAAAGGGAGATTCAGGAGTACCAGTAATATTCTGCTTCTTGATCTGGGTTATGAGTGTGTGTTCATTTTGTGAAAATGTATCTAGTTACATATGTGTACTTTTTATTATGTTTTCTAGACTTCAATGAAAAAGTTAAAAAACAAAAATTAAATTCTCTTGGCACGACAATTTCAAATTGGTTGCAGTCTTATAAGACACAATGAACCCAAAACCAAAGAACTTCTGCCAACCTAAACAGATTCAATATAGCTGTGCCCTATGAGAGATTTAGTACCAACTTGGGAATGGATAGAATAACATTTCATGCTAAATAGAGGCTACCAAGAGGTATCCTGAGCCAGACTCTCTCAATGAGGATCCCAAGACTGCCTGTTTCTAGTGCAAAAACCACAGCCATTCAGGAATGAATTAAATGGATTAAAATTTTAGAATGATTCTAGGCTGGATATAATCCTGTGATTCTGTTAAATCTTACAACTGTATTTCTCCAAAGAGCTAGACAAAACATCCAATGTGGGAACTCAGGGAGACATTAGTTACATGTGATTATCTTGTTTTGAGTAAAGTTAAAGACTAAAGAGGAGTTGTCCTCAACACAGCATCAGTCACCTCCCTCACCACACACCAAGCACCATGGCTGGTTCTGGGCACGTTACCTGGCATCAGCCTGCAAGGCAGAGATGACTGCGCACTTTACCAGTGAAGAAACACAGGCTAAGAACTCTGCTCAGTATTTGTTAGAAAGTGTGATTTGACCCCAACATTGCCTGCAGCCCTAGAAGGCAGGCTCTTGCCACACTCTCACACTGCTTCTCAAATGCCCCAGAGGTGTCTCTAAGAGTGTTCTAGGAAGAGCACCCCCATTCCAAGTGTCTGGGTTAATCTTGTTCCCTTGCTTCCTTGCATCCCTTGTGTCATAAGGAAAGCATCCAGGTCAACTTCAGTTAACAACTTTCTATCTGCCATGTGACCTCAGTGTGGAAGCCAACAGCCCAGTGGGGAAAGGGAACTGAGGCCCAGTGTAGCCTCAGGCTTTGGCAACAGAAAGATCTGGGTTTGGGTCTCAACTCTGAGTTCCTGTAACCCTTAACCTCTCCCTTGCAATTCACTGGCCTACCCTGCAGGGGAGCATGGTAACTGCGGGACACACACACACACACACACACACACACACCCCAGGAACGCAAGAGGGACCCGCAGATTTCAGTGAAAGTGGGCTCCTCCTTTTCCTGCCCTGACTCCAATCCTGCCTCTGGTTACTCACTCATCTGAGACTCTCACTTGAGGTGTCATGAACTCTTCTCCCAGCTGAAGGCCAAGTCAGAGGGAAGGGAAAGGAGACCTGGACCTATAATTTTATTTTTGGAACTGTAAAAGAGGATCTTGGTTTTAAAACAGAGACTGCATGCAGACAGCAAAGTCAGACAGAAAAGTCATTTTTGCTTGGCAGGAACACAAAACACATCCTTCCAGACTAAGATGCTTCCCCATGGGGAAGGGCTCAGATTTTCCCAATCTTTTTCTTTTTCTTTTCTTGAGTCTCACTCTGTCACCCAAGCTGGAATGCAGTGGCATGATCATGGCTCACCACAGCCTCAACCTCCCGGGTTCAAGTGATCCTCCTGCCTCAGCTTCCCAAGTAGCTGGGACTAGGGGAATGTGCCACTATGCCCGGCTAACTTTTTAATTTTTTTGTAGAGACGAAGTCTTGCTATGTTGCCCAGGCTGGTCTCGAACTCCTGGGCTCAAGCAATCCTCCAAACTTGACCTCCAAAGTGCCGTGATTACAGGTGTGAGCTACCACACTAAGCCCTTTATTTTGAGAAGGTAAGAATTTTTTTTTTAAGTTGAAGTCTTACTCTGTCACCCAGGCTGCAGTACAGTGGCACTATCACAGTTCATTGAAGCCTTGACCTCCTGGGCTCAAGCAATCCAACCATCTCGGCCTTCTGAGTAGCTGGGACGACCACGCCCAGCTAACTTTTTTATTTTTTGTAAAGATGAAGCCACACTATGCTGCCTTGGCTAGACTCAAACTCCTAGGTCAAAGTAATCCTCCTGCTTTTGACCATCCAAGTGCTAGGATTAAAGGCATGAGACACCACGCCCAGTCAGAGGTAAGACTTTTAAAGGGAGAAACATTAGACAATGTCTGAAGTCCTTAAGACCCCAACAGTCTGGGCTTCAAAACAGATTTGTCACAAAGAGTGCAGGTAGGGGTAGCTCCAGGGAGTCAGTTGACACTCATGGGGAAAGTGAAGAGCCACGTTTCCTTGCTCTGCACTGACCATTGTGCCAAACAGACAAGGGCTAAGCCCTCTGCTGGGGGAGAACTCTGGTGGGCAGTGAGAGCAGGTGAGCAATGGGCCCCAGAGGATTTTGCCACAGGGCTGCCCAGGAGGCTGTGGCCACACCCACAAGCCCTCAGTGGGTGTCTGGGTGTAAACACTCTGGAAAGCTCTCATAGGAGTGGTGATGCAGGAGCAAGTACTAGGCGTGAATTTCTCTTCAGAGGGAGAAAAGAGTTTTGAGTGAAGAAATTGGGTGGAAGGCTGGGTCCTTTTTTTTTTTTTAAATCGGAATCTGTCGCCCAGGCTGGAGTGCAGTGGTATGCTCACTGCCACCACAGCCTCAACCTGCTGGGCTCAGATGATCCTTCCACCTCAACCTTCCAAGGAGCAGGAACCATAGGTGTGCACTACCACTTCCAGCTAATTTTTTATTTATTGTAGAGACGAGGTCTCACCAAGTTACCCAGGTTGGTCTCGAACCCCTGAATTCAGGCAATCTTCTTGCCTCTGCCTCCCAAAGTGTTGGGATTACATGCGTGAGCCACTGCGCCCATCTGGATCTAGGATCTTACTTCTTTTAAGCTTTTATCTTATGAGACTGACACAAGCTGAGAATCAGGAAAGTCACCCTTGAGGTAATCAATGCTGACTCAGGAGAAACGACAAAACTGGCCAAAGAAGAACAGAGGTAGGTGAGTACGGAGTCGAGGGAACATGTAGTCCCCACGTCTAGGAGCAGAGCCCTGGGCTGGGCTCCCAACTGTACTCCCAGTCATGTGACCCAGGTGGAACGCAGCATCCCTGGCCTCCTGACCCTTAGATCTGAAAAGCAGAGAGGCATGACCAAACAAAAATCTTTCAAGTTTTCCTACAAACCAAAAGCACCAAGTTTGGACAGGCAGCAGATCCATGTTTAGTAAAGACCTGTTGATGGTAGAGGAGCTGATGGAAGGTACTGCTCCTTCCCTGGTGAGACCCACACCCAAGTCACTGATATCCAGACCCCAGGAGGGAGGTCCTTTGGCCACATCAGCACAGATGCTGTTGAGGGCAATGCCCAGGCTGAGCCTACAGCCATCTCCATGACAACCCACCAGGTTTGGAAGGCAACAGGCCCCCACCTGGGGATACCAGGCCTGTCTCTAGGTTCCAGCCTCACCACCGGCTCTTCCTACTCACCTGTGTGAGGTACGCATGTCCACGGGCCCGTCGCCCACCAGCCCTTCACCTCTGCCCGTGGCTGTGACCTCTGCTGCCCTCAACAATCCTTGGGCTGGGCCTGCTCCTGGCTCAGGTGTCAGCCTCATATCTCCATCAGTGTTTAAGTCTGAAGCCAACAATCCTCTCTCCATTTTTATTTTCTTGCTCTCCACATCGTCCTCCGTTGAGTCCCGTTCAAGAGCACGTTTCTGACTCCGTGTTCGGCATGCTTCTTCGGTCATTCTGAACTTTATAGGGAGGAGAAGACAAAGGACTTTAACTGGGTGCAACAAAGTTGCGCAACTTTGCAGAGGGTTCGTTTTGAGTGTTTTCCTCCCTGTGTAACAATGGCAGAAGTAGGAACTACAGGCGCAGGGCCCACTCAAGCAGTCCCGGGACCCTCCTTCATTGCTTTGGGGAAGGTTTGGCAGAAGAGTGGTCATGGTCTCCACAGTGTGGCGGAGCATCTAGGGAGCCAAGCTACGCCCTGCCCCCAGGGAGCTGGACAGGAACACCGAAGGTGGCTGCTTTATCAGAAAGAAAAGGAATGCTGCACACTCCAGACTAAGAACACACAGAGGACAGCTGTACTGGAGGTGAGCTACCTGCCTGTGGGATTCGAGCACAAGCACTGTCTGGAATCCAGGAAGGGGGTGACTGCACTGTCCCTGGGCAGGATCAGGGCTCAGGGCCAGCCCTGCACTGCAGTGATTCAGGTTGACCCCTGCCTCTCCCCTTCAGTGAAGTCTCCCTGCTCACCTCCAGGGGAGTGGAGGGGGAGGGTCACATTAACCCTTTGGTTGCCGGTGAGGTACACTTTGAGTAGGGTGAGGCCTGGCCCATCAATGTGCCACCGCCCTGTACCTGCAGCACACACATATCTTGATTTAAAGAAGAAAGAAAAAGAAGAAAAAAAGAGCTGAGTCAGTTTTTGATCCCATGACATCACTGGGCTCCACATGACCCTTCCCAGGATTCAGTCTGAGAGACAAAGCACTTTCCAGAAAACCAGTCTGAACCGGTTCCAGACAACAAGCTGAAGTGTTGTTAACCCTCACAGAGACAGGACGACAGCACAGCGATGTCTGTCTGCAGGGAGGCGGCTGGCATTCCACAGCAGGGTCTGGGACAGGAGTGCTCTTAAAGGGGCCGCTCCAAGCCCTGGCCTTGACATCCAAGAGGACAGGGTAAGAAACTGAGACTGGGAGAGTCAGGGTCTTCAGAAAACACCCAGCATCTACTAGGGGGCAAAAAGGAAAGGTAGTGACCAAGCTTTAGTAGAATTCTCTAAGTGTCACAGTTTTCCACAGGACAGCTGGCACCAACTTGGGCCTTGCAGAGAACCCCACTCACACCTGTGGCATGCTCCATAATGAAGCCCTCTGGCTCTGTGTCCTTGCAGGCAGGGCACCCACCTTCCCAGCACCTGCTTCCTCACTGGCATGGCAAACACCCTGGGATGCACATCATAGACAGGGACAGGTACTCTCAGTTCCAAAGGCCACCTTCTGGGACTGGGGACAGCACAAGGCAACACGAGGGTCCTGTCACCATACATGGGACACGCGCCCAAGTTGACTCACCTGCAACCTCTTTAAAGGAGCCCATTTCACAAGTGAGCAACAGAGTGAGGCCCTGCCCAAATGAGCTCTTTAGTGCACTAGACTTGAAAGGAAGGAAAATGACAGCACTTCATTCCCCTGGAGCCAGAGGGAGAGTGGCCATGTGCACAAGTGTCAGGCCAGCAAAAGCCAACCAACAGGGTTAAACTGAGCAGGTCCCGCCACAGCCACGTCACTCCTGGGGTGTTCCTCAGACCCAAGACAGCTCTGGGCTCCCTACCGCATCTTAGGGGAAGGCAGGGCCAAAAACAGCTCTCTAGTCACCCCTACCAGGTGCCATGGTTGACCCCTAATATATCAGGCTGGGGGAGAGAGGGAAGGAAATCCTAACTCTCATGGCACAGGCCGCCTCCCAAACCCCCAACCCTCCCAGCATCCCAGCCTGCATCTACCACCTACCCCACACCAACTGCTTGTTCACAGGCCGCCCACCCAACACCCCTATCCCTTCAGTCTCACCCAGCTACCCCCCCCAGCTCCTCTTCTATACGCAGCTGCTTCACTTCCTGTCTGGAGGTCGTGTCCTTACCACTCCAGAGAGAGGTAAGGAATGCCCTGATGCCCCTCTTAGCTTAAAGTTGTATGGTCTCTGTCTGTCCTCTGACATGCTTTAGCCACAAACCCTGTCCAACCTGCTCACCATCCTGCCTCCCATGAGAATGCAGATAAATCTCTGTCCTCAGAATATCAGTCACCCTCCCCCCCATTCTATTCTGATTGTGGGAGGGATGAGACATTTCTCCTTCCAGCACTGCCCGAAGCAAGACAGCCCAGGACTGGACAAGGGAAGCCATTTTGGCAGCTGCCTTGGACAGCAGGTAAAGGTACCGGTAGACCTGGGGCAGAGACGATCCTACCTAGGTGGGAGAGGGATACTGAGCAGGGCCCGCCACGGCCACGTCACTCTAGGGAGAGCAACTCGGACAAGGAGGGCCCCACTGGAGTCGGGGGGCATTCTGTCCCTAAGGGTGAAGCTCCCAGTCTGGCTTGATACTTACTGTGGGGGGAGGGGGAGGAAAAGAAGTCCCAGGTGGACAAGAACACAGCCTCACCCCCATGACGCTGCACCTTTCCCTGGGACTCACAGACCATCCCCCAAGCTCCCCACGCTGCCCCTGCTCCAGATAGCGCAGCCTCCAGCACTGTAAGCCCTGGGCTCCGTTTCATGAAACTCGTCCAAACGCCAGACCTTTTGTGAAGTCCTCCCAGCGACTCCAGCTGACCATCAGTGAGGCCATGCTTGAGAGATCGTACTTCACATCACTGTGGTAGCATGAGAGGCCTCCCTAAGGGCACGAAGGGGCCGGGGCAGCGCAGGGCCTCAGCTGCCCCACAGAACTGCCCTTCCAGCCCCCGAGACCCCTTGAGCTGCTGGTCACGGTGGTTGGTCAGGGTCCACAGCAGAGGGCCTGCAGGCACAGGATCAATGTGCAGTGTCAGGGCAGCTCATAACGAAGCCGAAGGCCTGGAACTCTGCCAAACCCAGGCCCAGAACTGGCGCCGGCCTGGAACTCTGCCAAACCCAGGCCCAGCACTGACGGCCGGCGCACAGTGCCTGCCTGCCCCGGCCTGTGCCTTGCTGATGCCGGCCACTACTGGGGTGGGGCCTGCCACCCCCCCACCCCGGGAAGGACAGGCGCAGCGGGGAGGGGCGGGGCAAGCCGCGCGGGTGCAGGGCGCTCCCAGGACCAGAGCCTACTCCACAGTCATCCGAATGGCTTGGGCTGTTACTGGCCACGCGCCCGCCGTCACAGACCATGTGCTCTCCGAGAAGGCCGGATCTGTAGGGTAAGGAGTAGACCTTCATTCTCCAGGCAGACAGGACCCGTACCACCCACCCCCATCCTACCTCAGGGCCAGTGGTCACCACACAGTAGGCACAGACCCTGGAGCCAAGGTGTCAGGAAGAAAGAAATATGACAGATGACTTCGGAAAAGGGCAGTATGGGGGTGCAGTGAAATACTCCACAAAAAGCAAGTGAAGAGGCTTGATTGCCACCAACTGGCAAATCAGGACTTATTTCAAAATTCCCATAAGAAAGGAAGTAGTAGGGGAAAGCTGTCCAGCAACAGAAGCTGTACCCAAACCAGTGCAGGAACTGGCGCCACATGGGAGCAGCCCCCACTCTGAGATCCTATGCTGGCTGCTGCCTGCTGAGTAGAAATTCCAACAGCAATGCACCCATTTTAAAGACAAGAGCACTGAGGCCTCCAGGACCACCTTGCTACTCCAGGCACAAGACCAGAACTCAGACAGCCTGAACCCTTCCTTCTCGCTCTTACCACTCACCCAAGGCCAGGCCTCAGGTCCTGCAGCAGAGAAAGACCAGCATGAGCCTCCTCTGCCACATCCCCCATCCACTGAGCGGGCAGGTGGTGGGGACACAGCCCAGGCATTTCTCAGCTGGGGGTCAAGAAGGGCAAGTTCCAGCCATACTAGAGACCTACAGCAGCAAAGCTTGGATACCATGAAGAGTACCAGCCTCAGGACACTGACACTGGGGCTTTGGGACAGAGGCAAATGCTGCTTTATCTTAGTAAAATGCCAGCATACAATCGGCATGAGAGCCTCAAGCAGAAAACGTATTCTAAAACAATTCCAAAAGGCTGAGGGATGCTGGGCAAGAACCAAGAGAAGGCACCCAGTGCAGGTCTGACATACCGAGCCAGTTATTGCCTCTCAATAATTAAAAAAAGGTAAACAGACATGAGCTAAAGCCAAAACCATGAGGTCTTCCAGCTAATACTAGACACCATAAAAGACTATCTACACTATACTGTCATGCCATACTAGCAGCAATACTACTACTAACACTCCCATTTAGACATGAGGAAGGTGAGGCTTGGCAGCAGGTGGCTGAGGTACTTGGCAGAAGCGACAGGACTGTTATTCTCAATGGTGGACTTAGGCGCCTTCCTGTCTCACCCAAAGGCAAACCCACTGAGACCTGACTACGGGCAACTATGGGCCAGAGAGTCTGAGGTTAGTACTGAATGAGATGGAGGGAATATCCCCATGCTGGGAAAGAAGTAAAATGAAAGAGGCTGTCAGGTGACAGTGCTGTGGGGACCCAAGGCAGAGCACAGAGGTGGTCACAGTATGCTGGTAGGAAGCAGAGTTCAAGCCAGAGGGGCAGAATTTAACTCTTCTAAAGAATCCTCTGGCTGAAGGACACATGGGGGGAGGGTTGGGGGGAGCAAAGGAAGCGTGGCTCAGATCAGGGAAGGGGCCAGCATGGGGGGGCCACATGAGCACTCAGGAAGAGAGGGCTGCTTTGTTCTGTTTTTACTGAGCAACTGGAGAGGTGGGATTGACTTTGTTGAGATGGGGAAGGAGCAGACTTGGAGGAAGATCAGGCATATAAGTTCGGATATGCTAAATGTGAGGCATCTATGAGAACCACGTGAAGAGCTGAGGAGTTAGAGCCCTGCCAGGAGCAGCCACTGTCCTCAGGGCACCTGAGGCGCCTCTTCCTGTCAGGAAGGAGGAAGGGCCTATGAAGCAACCAGGGCTGAGTCAGATGATGACAGGGTCCAGGCACCAGCCTCACTAGCTGCAGTTGACTGAGCCCAACACTCAGGACACACAGGCCCCTCAGGCAGGCAGCCCATTGGGCCTGCACCCA